AAACAATATATATATATATATATATACATATATATTAGGGATGTTCAGACACCAAGTACCGTACTCATTACAAGTACAGACTTTTCCAGCTGCAAGACTAAACTTAAGAAAAATGTAAAAGTTTGAAGGCAGCTGTCATTTTTAAGGAGCATACAGAGCTCCGATACCACTTTTTTCAAGTACAAGTACTGATACTAGCGATGCACCGTTACCGGTTTTTCGGTATCGAGTACGATATTTTTTTTCCGGTACCCACCGATATGGAATACTGATACCGGAAGTCCCATTAAGGAAATGTCCAGATCCTCAGAGAGTTCTTTGCCATGACGTGCCATGTTGAACTTCCATTGACCAGTATGAGAGAGCGAGAGCGATAACACCAAATTTAACAAACCTGCTCCCCATTCACACCTGAGACCTTGTAACACTAACGAGTCACATGACACTGGGGAGGGAAAATGGCTAATTGGGCCCAATTTGGACATTTTCACTTAGGGGTGTACTCACTTTTGTTGCCAGCGGTTTAGACATTAATGGCTGTGTGTTGAGTTATTTTGAGGGTTATTTTGTAGTAAAGTGTCATTGCTTCAGTGTCAGCACATGAAATGATATAATAAAATATTTACAAAAATGTGAGGGGTGTACTCACTTTTGTGAGATACTGTATATACTGTATAATCTACAATTCTTCACTTGTAGGTTTTAGGGTTTTTTCACACATGCGTTGAGAATTTAATGCAAGAGAAACGCTGATTAACGTGCCTATGGTCTTAACAAGGCATTCGACAGGCATTTTCAGGATATTAGGGAGGCGTCAAAAATGCTTGCAAAATGCCCTGCAAGTAGGGGAGTGTGTTAAAGGGTATGTAGTAAAGGGAAGTGACTAGCAGTGGCCACATTTCTATTTTTGTGAAGGAGTTGCAGTAGCTGGGCAGACTTGGGTCATACTATTCTGGGTATTGCTCAACTGCTTGGATTAGCCGTGCAACATTTATTTCAGACATGATTGGTTCCGGTTGGTACTTGCAATGCCTGGCAATGGTATGACTGGCACTGCTAAGCTGCCACTGCTCTGGCTAGAACTGCTTTGGATGACACTGATAACAGCTGGCACTACAGGGTGGCATAGGTCAGACCGTCATAGGTTGCAAGTACCTGGCTAGAAGTTGTCCTCTTGCTAGCAAAGCGCTGGCTGTGATGCATCTGCACCTGCTCTGTTCACTCACCCTATGATTCCCCAGTGGTTTCTGGGATTGCAAAACCTCCTATGCCTCTCCTAAAACACCTGTGCAACTTTTCTTAAATGCCCGAAAAATGCTATAGGAGCATTAACCGAGTATTTGAGGGGCGTTTCAATATACTTCAATGAAGGCATTTGTCGAGAAGAAACGCCTCCGTTCTGCGACATGCACTCTATTTATTAACACACAGCAACACAACGCTAACGCCCATGTGTGAACTGTACTGGGTGGTTGTTATTCCATTATCCCACATGAGCGTTAATAGGTGGCAGAGATGCATTAAAAACACTTCTCTAATGCACCATTTTAACACACATGTGAAAGAGGCCTAAGGGTTTGTTCCTAAGGATGTGTTCTTGTACTGCAGTGTGTTGATATTGTTCTCAACAGGACCTGTTCACACTGATGCAGTTCATATACACTGGGTGACTTTAAAGCTGAACTCCAGCCAAGTATAAGAAGATTAAAATGAATATTTGTATTAGAGTTTTGTGAACACGGCCAAGAAATACCCAGGCACCAGCATTTACATGATTTTGTCATTGTCTCAGTCCATTAAGTAGATGATGACAATGGATGTTGCCTGAACAAAAATGGCTCTGTCATTTTGGGGAAAAAGTAGATGAAGACATTGCCAGAGGGAGTACTATGACCTCTGAGAGGTGTAATTAATACTGGAAGTATTATAATAAGATTTCGTTCTTGAAGTGGGGAAGTCACATGAAAGTGACACTAAAGCACAGTCACATATTCTGGGGTCACGGTGCTCTGTAGAATATTAACCGTCAACATATTTGCTTTCTTCCAGGGAGGAGTGAATAATGAAGTAGCATTGGCTGCCTACATCACCATCACACTGCTGGAAATCAAGTTGCCTGTTACGGTATGACAATACAGAGATCTAACGGGAAAGAACATCAACACGATAACAATTGGATAGCAATATTGGGGAATTGCAAAACAATAAAGCTAAAGTAAAAAAAAAAAATACACTAAAACCTTCATAACTGGAAAAAATAAAAACACTAAAATATTTTGGTCTAATCAATAATGCACATTGGAAAGAAGTACTTGGAGATTTGCCTAGTACTCTGCATTAGGATCTTTGTACTAAACAAGTATCCTAATGCTGAGTACTAGGCAAATCTTCAAGTACTTCTTTCCAATATGTATTATTGATTAGACCAAAACATTTGAGTGTTTTAAAAATTTTTTATATATGAAAGTGATTGATCCACTATAGTCCACTAGTTGTGATTTGTGGATTAGATATAGCCTTGCAGTCTTAAATTTTGCCATTCATAGATTTATTTTGAGCTCACTCAACTTTGTAAATAATCTCTCTATCCTCATAGCACTTGGTGGTCAATGGTGCCTTGTTGTGCCTGGAGAGGGCTATAGGTACTGAAATGGACTTCTACACAGAAGCATTATTGGCGTATGCTTTCACACTTGCCGGAAAAGTGGACCTTCGTTCCCAACTCCTTCACGACCTCGATGACAAGGCCATTAAAGAAGGTGGGAGTGTGTGGTTTCAGAACTAACAATATGCCTTCAGGTGCTAAACACCGATGTGCAACTGCTATTTTATATATTAGGTTAGGATAGGATCACCAGGTATAAATAAATTTAAAAAATGGGATTATATGAACTGTAATAACCTTTTTACTCTAAGGTCCCTGAAGAAGACATGTGGCCACAATTTAAGACTTGACGAAAAAAGTTTAATCCTAAAACTGAGAAAAGGGTTCTTTACTGTTAGAGCTGGAATGGAACTCTAATGCCCAGGAAGCGGTATTAGCTGTGTTGATAAATTCAAAAAACTTTCAGATATCTTCTTTAGTCAGCATAATATACATAATAGACTGAGAAAGGGGTTATTTACTGTTAGCACAGTAAATGCAGTGGCGCTCTCATGCTCAGGAAGTAGTATTAGCTGTGCTGAGAAATTAAAAAATAAACTTTGAGTTATCGTCCTTCGTCAGCATAATACATATGATAAAATGGGAAAGAGGTTCCTTACTATCAGAGCAGTGAAAAGGTTTAATTTTCTTGCCCAGTAAGTAGAATTAGCTGAGAATGTTGATAAATCAAAAAGCTTAGATAGCTTAGTCAGCATAGTAGACACGGCTATGGGATTTCCTAAATTTGATAGGAGATAAATGAAGGGATTTATCCAATCGCCAGTATGGAGTCGAGAAGGAGTTTTTGCCAGGGGTGCCTACAATGATCACCTTTTATACCAAATCCTTTAAATCTTCTTTTCAAAGAATACATTTTAACTCTGCAGCAGCTGAAGCATCCCTTGAGGTGTTCTAGTCTTTCCAGTCACTGTCGCTTTTACTGGACAGCTTTGTCTACATGTAAATGTGAAGAAAATATCAATAAAAGGTATATGAAATAATAATAAAAAAATGAATATAGTGAATACTATTATCATATGCAGGGCTTGAAATATTTTAGGGTGTCTCACCAGTCAGTCACAAATTTTAACAGTCAGCATGACCGGACTATAGCCTTGCAATTTATGTTAACATTTTTTAGGGACAGATAGAGCTCCTAAGGACATTTGAGGCAATGGGTAGACCGCTTAGTGCCAGCACTTTAACATGATTCATGTACATTTCAATGCAATGTTTGCCTTGGTTTTCTGTTTTCCAAGCCCATATATACAGTGAATAACAAGCTATGTTACCCAGTAAAGCTAGTAGTAGTTAGTAAATATATTGACCAGTCTTCTGCAAATTTGCAAATTGCACCCATGGTTAGCTTTAACAAAAATGTAATATTCCAGATGGTACCATCCACTGGCATCGACCAGAATCCTCAGACTCTGCAGTAATAAGGGTCCCATCGATGGAAGTTGAGCTGGCCTCCTATGTTCTGCTGGCTATGTTATACAAACCCAAGCTCAGTGATGAGGACTTGACACATGCTTCGAAGGTGGTCTCATGGATCATAAAGCAGCAGAATCCTACTGGTGGTTATTCCTCCACTCAGGTATATGGCACGTGTCACCTGTCATCTCCCTTATCTTGCCTCTCTTCCCTCTAATCTGTACTATTTGTCTATTCTGTACCTCATTCACTTGCAGACCAGATGTGTCAAATTGATGTCTTCTGGGTCTCTCCCTCATCACTCCCCTTCCATTAAGCCCTAAGGCAGGTCATGAATTTAAATTGAATGATGTTCAAGACCCTTACTAATTTCCATTTGTTTATAAAAATATGAAGAATAAAATTATATTTATGAATATGAAGAACATTTCAGGTACGAGGCAGAAAGGTTTAGAACCTCCAGGAGGTTTTTTTTTTACTTATCCTCTTTGTCACCTTGAGTGAAAGTGATGGGAAATCCCCAAATTTACACTTGTCAGCAGGAATAGAGGGGAAATCTTCCAATGAAGACATCTACTCCAATGACCATTATTTAAGAGAGGAATTACCCTCCCTATGAAGAAATGTCCTCCTACAGCAGAAACCCCCCCCCCCAAAAAAAAAACTAAGAGAGGTTCTAATTGTTCCCTATTCTATCCACATAATAATAAAAAAGTATTGGCTTTAGATATACTATAGGTATATAGAATATATTAATTTGAACAAAACGCCTTACTAGGTGTGTCTACAATCTCGGATTACCTTTACATGGCATAGCTTATAGAATTTAGAATCTAAATTTAAAAATTCTTATTAGTGATCAGCTTACTTATGCTATTTCAAAGCTGACTTGTTAATTGTATTTATTTTTTTACAAGGGTTACAAATTTTTCAAGCTGCAATTAGCTAATACAAAACATTAACTGGTGTATAAATAAAAAGGTGCTTTTTGTTTAATGCAGTTTTTGGATTAACTTCTAAAGTGGACTTAAACCCATTAGAAAACATCAGCACCCGTGGCTGCCATTGCTGCATGATAGAAATAAATAATAGTAAGAGCCCTCAAATGCTTCTTCCATATTTCTCAGGTGAACATAAGGCAGAGGAACTCACTGGCTGCCTTTACAAGAAAAGTCAATCAATGCCTCTGCTCACACAGATCCTGCCGCCTTCTGCGGCTTAGACCAGAATAATACTTTCATTGTTCTTAATACATTTACACTTCCCAGATGCACCAATAAAATGTTGACAGCACTGTTCACGATGAGTAATTAGACAGCATAAATACACTTCACAGGTACAAGCGGTACTTGGAACAGAACTGGCTGCTATATACAATATCTTAATTGTTTTGGGGAAATCCCACAGCAAACTATTATAGTGTTTCCAAAACCAGAATCCTGCCAGTAAATCTACTGAACATAAATTGACGTGATCTACCCCCAGATCTTGAAGCTCAATTGAACTTTTCATTTAAGTCAACTGAACAGATTTCAGGTGTAGCAACAGCAAAGACTTAAGGTGCCCATACACCTTACGATTATTGGACGATAATCGTATGCGATCGACTTTTCGTCCGATAATCGTATGTGTGCATTGCAGTGTCCGACCGACAATACTGTACAATCGTACGACTTTTGACGGTCAAGCATGTTTGAAAACTTTGCTAGATCGTACGATTGTCGTAAGGTTGCTGGCGTTTCCGTCCGTCAAAAGTCGTACGATGTACACTGCGCTTGCGCTAACGAAAATACGGCAAATCAATTACCGCATTTCGTCCAGGTGCTTTTGGTTAATTACGGCTAAATGATTCTTGCGATCATCGGGGCAGGATGGGGCTGTCGTACGAAAATCGTACGACTATTCGATCATCGGACGAAAAGTTTCGTCCGATAATCGTAAGGTGTATGGGCACCTTTACAGTTCCTTTTCTTTAGAAAGCTGCCACAGCCTGAACAGAAAAACCTGCCCTTGTTCTCTGTGTGGAAGCAGTGGTCTGTTTGCAAAAAGTCTGACATCTCCCCTGCAGAGTCAGGGGTAGAGCTCTGCAATTGCCCGGGAGCTGAGCTTTGGTTTTAATGCACCTGGTATGTAATTAGCCGATTTCAACTGAAAATTCCCTTGGACTTTATTGCAAGTAATGCTTCCTTACCAGTAGATGAAGTCTTAAGGGGGATCTTTGGTTCAGATTGGCTCTCTGTTAAAGGGTTAAGGGGTCCTTGTCACCAGCTTAAAACATTGCAGGAAAAAGCTTACTTACAAACATTTTTCTTTCCATATATGATTTATTGACTTGCAATGTACCTTTGAACTTACTAGCAAATTTTACTACTCTAGGAAGAGTCGAATCCCAAGCACATAATAGCTCTTTACTGTTATGGGAGTGTCTAATTACTATCTCCTCTACCCCTCCCCTCATCTTCCTACATACACATACATGTTATTGAGTGACAGCTCTGAGTCTGCTAGGGCTTCTGACATGATATACAAGATGGCAGCACCCAGCAACTGCCTCAGGGCTTTAGGGGTTTACAGTTAAATAACATGCAGAAAATACTTCATACACACATATAATCTAAAGGGAAGGTTGTTGGTAAAATTAATGGTCTCTTTGATACTGATAGTTGATAAGTATCAATGACCTTAATGTTTATTATATACTTTGTTATTCTCAGGACACAGTAGTTGCTCTCCAGGCCCTAGCCACCTATGGATACTTTGCTTACAGACATGATGGTCCTCGTGAAGTAGCCGTCACCCTGGGTGAAGCTCCAGTTGCCAAACTCCATGTAGAAGACTCCAACCGCCTGCTTCTGCAACAAGTCCCTCTACCCGACATTCCCGGAAATTATACAGTATCCATCAATGGACCTGGCTGTGTCTTTGTACAGGTTAGTACCCCATACACACACTATTTATTTCCTTACAGTAGCTTTGTGTGGAGCTGGCCTTTAATGGATATTACGCACCCTATTATGTTGACCCCTCGTTCCTAACTGGAATTTGCACCGACCAGTTGAGCTCTTCCTGATGTTCTTCTAGACCTTGTTTTTATAAGTCTGACACAGAACAGCAATGAAAATCAATGTGACACCCAGTCAGAATTCATACAGACAGGTCAGGAAAGGACACTAGGAACAGGCAGGATGGGGCAGAAGGTAGATTTCTCCAAAACATTTCTGATCCTGAACAACATATCTGAAAATGAGGAATTGATAGAAATGAAAAGAAAGTGCCTGATTGTTTGTTATTGACCTAACACAACATTTATCATGAACATTGATTGTTTTATAGAGTACTCTGAAATACAACATCCCCCCTCCTGAAGGTGAAGCTCCATTTACCATCACAGTAACTACAGATCCGAAGACATGCAACCCCAAATCCTTCAAGTCTTTTGGCATTTCGGTCAATGTAAGGTGAGGCTTAATGGCATTCCTCGTGTCAGTTCTGACATATCATATGGGCAAGGTTAGGATTAACCGACAATAGGCTTGTGTGTGTCCTGGTAGAATAATTGTCTACTCATTTTCAAACAAGTAACACAATTACATATGGCAAGGATAACTGAAGCAGTACCTTCACAGCATATCACACATAACATAGACAGAACTTGTATACATCTGAGTACATACACCAATCAGCAATATAATTATGACTAGGGATGCACTGATATATCGGCCGCCGAAACCTATCGGCCGAAAATGGCACTTTTGGCTCAATGCCTAAAGTGGCATTTTCCTGCCGATACAACGGTGCATCCCTGCTTTCTTTCCTCCCCGCTGGGCGCTGCTCTGTGTCCCAGCGGGAAGGAGAGAAAGTGACAGCCGGCCAAGCGCTGTGGGAGGAGAGCGCTGTGAGCAGCCGGCGTCCCTCCCCCCACACCGCTCAGCCGCCTATCACAGTCCGGCAGAGCAGTGTGGTGGCGGAGACAGCCCGCGCTGTCACAGGAGGCTGAGCTCTCCCTGCTACGCTCGCTCAGCCTCCTGTGACAGCGTGTCAGAGAGTAGAGCCAGGTACAAGCAGTCGGTGATCAGTGATTGCTGAGTGTTTGTAGATAATTGAGGACATGGTATGGTTACTATATCCTCAATTATGAATGAATGGGAAGTGATCTACATCACCTCCTGTCCATTCATAGTTGTAGTTATAGTAAACACACTCTGTCCTCATGTTATCAATGAACAGGAACACTCAGTATAGAGGATTCCTGTCCATTGATAACAGGATAAGGATACAGAAAAAGAGATTGAGGACTCTGTGTTCTCAATCTCTTTTTCTATTTTAAAAGGGAAATATCAGGAGTCTTAAGAACCCTAATATTTCCCCAAAGCCTCTAAAAGTAAAGTAAAAAATTTAAATATTTATTAAAAAAGGAATAAATAAATATAAAAAATGACAAAGTTTATAGAAAATAAATAAAATATTTAAAAAATTTGAAAAAATTGAAATAAACATTTTTTCGGTTTCGGCCTGACAATTTTTTTATTTCGGTTTCATTTCGGTTTTTAAATTTCTATTTCGGTGCACCTCTAAACATGACCACTGAGAGGTGATATGCATAACATTCATTATCTGGTTACAATGGCACCTGGAAGTGGGTGGGATATATTAAGCAGCAAGTGAATATTTTGTCCCTGAAGTGGATATGTTGGAAGCAGAAGAAATGGTCAAGCATAAGAATTTAAGTGACCTTGACAAGGGCCAAATTGTAATGGCTAGGGTCAAAGCAACTCCAAAACTGCAGCTCTTGTGGGATGTTCCCAGTCTGCATTGGTCAGGACTTGCCAAAAGTGGTCCAAAAAAAGGAAAACTGGTGAACCTGCGACAGAGTTATGGGTGGCCAAGGCTCATTAATGCACGTAGGGAGCGAAGGAAGCGCCACCTTGCAAGGATCTGCTACTGGCAGCTTGGTGCCAGATACCACAGCACACCTTCAGAGGCTTAGTGGAATCAATGCCTCAACAGGTCAGGACTATTTTGCAGACAAAAAGGGGGACCTATTCAATGGGTGGGCATAATGTTATAGCTGATCTGTCACCATTGCCAGGAGAAACACGACAGCAAAGTAAAAAATGACACTGGTTTAGTCAAGTAGTACAACAGAAATAAGTTTCTGACTATACTATATTACTACTAAACTATAGAAAATGTAGTACATATGAGAACAAAGAATTGTACAGAATAATTGAGAAACAAAACTCCACAAACCTTGGAGGCGTACCTTATTTTTTTTACTGAATGTATACAATTATTGATGTACAACATATAATATGAACATTGACAATTGATTCCCATGATGAGTTACTTAAAGAGACACCAAAGCAGAAGCTTTCCTATACGGAATGGGTCACTCCTCAAATATGTGAAAAGGGTTTCACCGAAAAAGTTCTTATTTATATGGTTAAAAAAAAAAATTACGTTTTTTGTTAGTCCTGACCACAATAAAGAATTACAATATATAAAAAAAAGCTATACATTTTCTTTAAAAGAAATGTAATTCCTTTCCCTACAGCTACACTGGCAGTCGGGTGATCTCCAACATGGCGATAGCAGAAATAAAGCTGCCATCCGGGTACATCCCAGTAAAGTCTAGTGTCCGACAGGTAATTATACAGATGGTTTATTGTGGGTAGCCCTGCCATGACAACACTGATATTTCACATGCATCTCCTCTTTTTCAGCTGTCAAACCTGAGATTCATTCAAAAGACAGAAAGCCATGCGAACAAAGTTGTTGTCTACTTTGAAAAGGTAATTTTTGTAACAAGACTCAATCCCTACGCATGCTCTCACCTTTTCACCCTGTAGCGACCCCTCTGGACAGTGGACTGCTTTCACACTACTAGCAAGTGATGGATTTATTTGGAACCTTTACCGAGCTCGGAGTCCAATCCTCCACCAACCAAATTCCAAGCAAAGTAAAAAGATGAATTCTGATCATCAGAATATTGATGATGTGGGTTGGCGCATTGTATTTGAGGCTCTGTCCCCTCCTGTTACTGCCAAAGTATGTTGGTGATGCATATTTTACATTGTGGGAGTTTGCTGGAAAAGAAGCCAGCAGTGGATATACATGTTGAAAATAGGAATCTCCTGATGGCCTGATTATTCCTTCACAAGAAGTCTCTGTGTTTGGGATGGGTAGACTAAAGCCGGTAATACACTGTTATATTTTCTCTGTTCCACCTGCGGGCTGAACGAAGAAAATATAGCAGATTCCTCCATCAATGCTTTTGAGCGTGGATGGTGGAATCCCCCTCTGTTTTCATTGCCAACCTCTGCAAGCTCCATTTGGCTGAAAATTCTACAACCTGTTCCTTCAATTAGCTGATCGAGTGAGAGCCAGGGTAGAGGGTGGCTTCATCACAAACCAGCTGAAGTTCGCAGAGTATAGCCTACAATAGAACAAAGTCAAAAGGTAATTAAATACGAGACACACTATACACTATATGATGAAATATTTGTGGACACATGATCGTCACATTAAGGGCTCATTCTCACGGGATGGGAGGACGTGGCTTCATGCAGCTACATGCTGACCTGAACCTGCACGTCCGTGCAGGTCCAGGTGCCCACGCTTAGATGCCCACAGTCTGCGTCCAAGTGTGGGCATCCGGATCTGCATGGATGTGTAGGTTTGGGTTGGTGTGTAGCTGTATGCAGCCATGTCCTCCCATGGGGAGGTACAAGCTGCTGCACACAATTACAAGCCGCACCTGTGCCTTCCTGGAGCAGCTTTCTGCATAGGTGTGCACGCTTATGAGCCCTTATTATATAAACTGATGGGCATCCCATTCTAAAACCTTGGCCAATAACATGGAGTTTTTTATGGCTACAACAGCTTCCACTCAGCAAAGCTTTTCACAAGATTTGAAGCTCCAGGGCACCCTGCAAGTGGTGATACCGAATACTCCCCAGGAAAGCCACTGCATGGATGGCTGTGTTTAACGTGCAGTTAACCTGTTTCAAGCAAGTTTTGCATTTCCATGGACTTGTATGGAAATGCAAAACCTGTTTCACGCGAACAGAAGCCAGTCGATACAGGCACTAATGAGGTCACACTAATGTGGCCCAATTTCTGATGAGTGATAGATATTTCACCCTGATTTCTGGTGGGTCATTGTACCTCAATGCCATGATATTATAGCCATACTGAACTTTATTAGTGCAACAGCGGCTAGAGCCCTTCATTTAGCAATGCTCACGAGCCCCAGGGTTTAAACTGGGCTTCCATTTTAAGTCAAAGAAATGGAATAATTGGAGTTCTACAATAGCAGTCACTTAAGGACACATCATTTTTTTTTTCTAAAAAGAAAACCTGTGATGAATTGTCTCTGGATGTATATTTTAGGTCATAATGTAAGACATTCACCCAATTTCCTATTCTTGTTTTCAGCTTACCAAGGACGTAGAGAATTTCAAGTTCTTAATTGAACAAGATATTCCTGTGAGCAACCTTCAGCCGGCCACTGCCAGGATCTATGACTACTATGAGCCAGGTACCCCACTCTGCTTCTTGGAGTGCTCTTACCAGATGACCCATACACTTCCAGGAAGGGTTCACTGACTTCGGGAAATTTCACTGATGTACAATGAAAATGAGCAAGAATACTTTAAACTATAGCTGTCATAACAAGTATAGTCCAATGAAAGTGAGTGCAGAGTCAGAAAGCAGGCATCACTCCAGTGAAAGCGCTGCTCCTCTACACACAGGAAGCCCTGCAAATCAATATGCAATATGCAAATAACGACTTTCGTAAAAGTCAGTACTTGGGCTAGGTTCACACTGCCATGGTGCGTTAACAAATTCACATTAAGTTGCATTACTGTGCCTTGTATAAAGGCAGCCCATTTACACTCCAAAAAAGATGCATGTACTATTTTTTTTGTAATGCAGCTCACCACAACGTAAGGTAGTACGTTACCATGTATTCTGGTGTGCCGCAATGGGGTGCCATTCTGAATGAACCTCAGAAATTCACAGTGTGAGCCTGCCCAAAAAGTGTACTGTAGTGTTGAGCCAAAACATTCTTTTTCATTTTTGGATAGACTTGGGAGAATTAGAACCCCTGTCAGGTTTTATCTTCTGTTGTTCTCTTAGAAAGATTTCTCCTGCTTACTGTCTGGCTGACAAGGAAGGAGACATCTGCAACAGAAACACACGGAGAAATACATACAGTAGCTTACAGGCATTCTAGCCTTCTACTTAAAATAGTAAAACAATCACTTCCTGTCTGTTAAACTGTTGTCAACAGGATAGGAAATAGGGAAATCTTTCAGACGGAGCCCCAAATAGCAATAAAAGCTGACGGGTTTAAAAAACAACATTTGGCTAGACTTGCACTTTCTCACATTGAGAGGTTCGCACATTGCATTATGTATCAAAGTTGGGGAGTATTTAGCTCCAATTGGTTTCTCCAAACCTAGAAGATGGAGCGAGAGGGCTGCTGGGAGGAGTAAATAAGATGCTTTTTGAGATTCTAGAAGTGCAGTATATATGGGGACGTAATGGGTCTGGCTACAATTGTTTTCCAGCACTCTTAATTAATTACAACTTTTTAACAGGACATTCTGTATGTAAATATTAGATAACAGCCCAGTAGAGTGATAGAATGATGCCCCATGAAACAGAAGAGCCTACAAAACTTTACCTTCTGTCCTCGTCCTAATTTATCTCTTGTATTCTGTCCCCAGCATGCTCCCGTATTAGCTTCAGACACAGCCCCTTCATAATGTTTAAAAGTCATGTATATTAAATGTATACATATATATTATAGGCAATCTGGGGGTGAGGGTGAAAACAAATGTGTGATATACAATATGCGTTTCCCTTTCAGGTGATTTTGCGGTGACAAAGTACAGCGCCCCCTGCAGTTCACAAGGTACGATATGACAACATGGAACTGGAATATGACACATCTATGCTGTATTCCTAGGTTTTGTGCGCAAATAAAATATTTCCCTACACACAGGAGTCATGTCTAAAAATATAATCTATATCAGTAATGACACTTGTATATATGTATTATACTGATGGAGATAAGGTGTTCTAATGCTTTTCAACCATTGTAAGATGGTAATGGTTACAAAAATTTGAAGTGTATTCACAGCTTTTATCATTAGCTTTCGACTGAATACACATACTGGGTAAAGGCAATAGTTCACTATAAAGCCCATTTCCAGCTCTGTAAGTGATTTGCATTTTATTGTGGTAATGAAGAGGTGCAGTGATGGTGTACAGTATATGTGTGCACATTTTCATAACTTACATTGCAGGCTTTCTTAATTTTTTTATGAGATTTTTATTAGGCCTGAATCCTAGCAATTAAACATTTTCTCCACAGGAAACTCAGTCTGACACTGCGGTTGTAAAGCAGGCTGTAAAAAGCTGCCCCCTCCCTGTGATTCTGTGTAACACGATCACTAAACACCAGCTCTGCCTTTACACCCAATACACTGTCGGGGGGGTTCACTAAGAATGCTAATTAATGGGGGGAGAGAGAGAGCTCACTTGTAATATACACAGATTGCTTGTACAGCACAGACGCGGCCATTTCCATGAGAAAAGAGGAAAGTTAACAAAAATGTTTTTTGTTCATATACAGCAACTGCATATGCCTGCTTCCTTTACACTCACTGTGCATTGCTGGCATATGTTGTTTAGGCCCCATTCACACCAGGGCGGTTGTGGATCAGCACAGATTTTAAAAGGGCAGTTTTGGGAGTTTTTAATTATGTTTCAGCGCTGAAACGCAATCAAAAATGCCCAAAACCACACTGAACAGTGCGGTTCAATTGAAAGCAGTATGGAAACCGCGCTGATCAGCACGGCCAAAAAGGAGCAGGTTCATGTTAGCGGATCCGCGCGGCCGAAACGCCCTGGTATGAACGGGGCCTTAAAAGTACCCCTGCAAAGGTGGAATTGGGCTTTAAAGTGAAAATGCCAGGACAATAAAGTGTCTAAACTAATAGTACTGCTGAGTCCTTTAGTGCCTGCAAATACCTGCATGATTCTTCACAGCAATTTCTGTGTGCTTTTATAACCTCTAGATCAGGGGTCCCCAAACCTTTTAAACAAAGGGCCAGTTTAAAGGCCAGACTGTGACCAGTAGTAGTAAAAAGAAAAAAAAAACCTCCCGGTGTCGAAGGTTTGCGAGACTAAAACATGTCCTGGCCTCAGCTGTCAGACGGAGTAAAGAATGCCATGACATCAGTTGTCAGCGGGTGCAAATAATAACCTGGCATCAGTGTTAGTAATAAATGCCCAGGCATCAGAGGTCAGTGGGAGTAATAAATGCATCTGTATTAGTGGTCAGTGGGAGTAATAAATGCACCTGTATTAGTGGTCAGTGGGAGTAATAAATGCACCTGTATTAGTGGTCAGTGGGAGTAATAAATGCACCTGTATTAGTGGTCATGTGGGAGTGATAAATGCACCTGTATTAGTGGTCAGTGGCAGTAATAAATGCACCTGTATTAGTGGTCAGCGGCAGTAATAAATGCCCAGGCATCAGGTCAGTGGGAGTAATAGATGCACCTGCATTAGTGGTCATGTGGGAGTGATAAATGCACCTGTATTAGGTGTACGTTTAATAAACTGTGAAAGAGTGTGATAAGCAGTGAGAAGGCTTTTCTCACGTTAGCAAAGAGAAAAGTCTAGAAAATGGTCTTTAATAACCTGTGATAAGTCAGGTAGGAACTGAAATATCTCACCTCTTCTCATCCTGGTGATAAGTACACAGAAAGTAATGGGAATGTACCTGTTTAATAAAGGGAGAAAAGTAGAGAACAGCTTTATCAATGGAAAAGTATTGTGAAAAGTACCCTTGATTTAGCACCCTGTCAGACCTGGTGATAAAGGCCTTTTTCCCGTGAATAAATATTGAAATAATAATAATAATTAATTTAAAATAATAGAAATATATTTCATAATCAACAAAGAATATTTATGAATTAAATAATTAACCACCTGCTGTCCGGCCGTTGTAATTAAAGGGCCGGACAGCGGAAGCAATGGGGGTGGGGTTTTTAAACGTCCTAACCTGCCCCGCTCGTGCCCGCCGCTAGGCGGCGCGCACGAACGGGAAATCGGCTTTGAATGTAAACAGCCAGTGATGGCGGTTTACATACAAGCGTTCAGACGTCCTGAGCTCCGCTGTGCCCGGACAAACTACAGTGTAGACAAGCTGCGGTGCGAAGTGGAAGGTTGCGATTTTTTCGCTTTGCATCGCTTCGCCTGCAGTGTGTCACAGCCTTGAGAGGGAAAAGGAGGGAAGTCTGTCTTAATGCCACCCTTCCCTCATGAGAGTGACAGTGGCAGTTTCAAGTCCCCTCACTGTATCTGTGTAGTGTGAGGTAAAGTTCAGTAAGGTCATGTGACTTTAGGGCTTGTTGTTGAAGGCTCAGTCTCCCTCAGAAACAGGCCCACCAAATTAAGTTTGAAGGATGTCTGGGGAGCATGTTTTACAGGCACATGCAGTGAACATTGCACTCCACACATAACAGTCTGTAAGACCATTTCGCCACCATGGTCCGCCGTTTGCAATGCATTAATACCTGCTGCTAGTGTTTTTGCATCTGTATATAAACATAGAGTATATCCAGGTCACAGCTCTGTCTCAGATATTTTTATTTTTGCATGCATTTGTCAGCCTGTAATAAATTAAACAGAGCAGGAATTTTTTTGTCTTAAAAAAATTCTTATATATCTTTAAAATATATACATATAAAAATTTGGTGTGAAAATGTGTCAAATTAACCTGCATATGCTGCCGCTGCCAAATTTCCGCCTAGGTATCAAGGCATCAATGACATGGCATGAAAGTGTGAAAGCCAGCTTTTTTTTTTTTTTACAGCTTGGTTTTCAAGAGACTATTCTGTGATTTTGATTGCTGCCGAGGACAGTAATGGAAATGACACTTTTGTGTTGTGTCACCATTCTATAACTGATCTCCTGTATCTTTTTCATTTTCAGAGGACATTCGATATGCATAAGGAACAACATTGGCGCAGATGGACAACTTACAGCCAGAATTGCCAGTACAGATGAAGCTAAAAAAACTTTCTAGCCCAGCGTTTCGCAACCCTTTTACCCCCGAGGAACCGTTAAAATAATTATTGGGTCTTGGGGAACCCCTGCGCAAAATGATTATACCTGCAGCTTACAGGACATTAGCGTGATCGATAAAATGAAAAAAGTTTAAATAAAAGAATATGTGATGTGTCATACCTAGTGTATCTGATATCTAGGGAAGATCATTTTTACCACCACCCGCCCTTTAAAATTATTTTAAGTAATAGTCTTGAAATTAATATTAAGAACAGAAATGAAAGGCAGACATTAAAAATGGTGGTGTCCGCCAACATTAGTGGTCAGTGTAGAAGTGACCTCCTATATTGCTGATTAGTGAAAAGTTGCCCCCTTGAATTGATGGTCATTGTAGGTGGGAGATCAAATAGTCATTGCAACCTCAAGAGGAATCCTATGGTTCCATGGAGCAAGAGTTGATAAAACACTGGTATAGACAATAACATGGTGTTCAACTCCTATTTACTAAAATCTGTGGAATCCAGACAGACTGTAAATCTTCTTATTCCATCTTTCATATTTTCGATTCATTCCTGATGTAGGTTTCAGTTCCCACCATCTCTTATTCCATTTTGTTAACTTCCAGAGCTCTTCATACACTACAAGCAGGGAACTCTATATAACAGAAAATGCCAATTTAAATATTTCTCAAATTGGTCTAGAGATTCACTAACAAACCACCATGTGCATTTTTTATGTTTTATGTCTTTGTATTATTTGGCTACTGCAATAAAGCCAGCTGTGACCTACAGAATATGCTGAGGCTTTTATATTTTTATTTGTCTATTAAATGATGCAGCTGATATTGTCTCCGAGCAGCCTCCAAACTCTTCACCAAGCACTGTTTAAGGTCTATGGCTCTCTTAAAGTGTATGTCAAGCTCATTTCCTTTCCTGTCGACACCAGACAGGAAGTGAAGGAAAATTTGCAATAGGGACGCAGGCAGTGGTTTTTAATTTTGCTTGTCTGTTGCTTATTGCTCAATAAAGAGCTGTAAGGGCCATCATTGAAGCACAAACTATTCTGCATGATCCTTACTTTTAAGGCATGCTCCCCAAGAAATGACACAATTAGGGACAGCGTTGGGCAGCCGACAGCATAGGTCACTAGAGATCACAGAGCTATAAGAAGTATGGCCAGATCACCATCTGCAAGGAGTTTGCATGTTCTTCCTGTGCTTGTGCGGGTTTCCTCCTACACTCCAAAGACATGCTGGAGGGTTAATTGGCTCCTGTCTAAATTGGCCAAAGTATGTAGGCATGTGAGATAGGGACCCTATACTGTAAGCTCCTTGAGGGCAGGGACTGATGTGAATGTGAAATTATGTAAAGCACTGTGTAAATTGTCAGCGCTATATAAATAAATGACACTGTGTTGGTGACAGTACTGTCTGAGACTTGTGTGCGAGAAGATAGCGATCACTGAGTTGCTGTATTTATAGTGGTTAGACATGTGCGCTGGCACAAAATTTGTTTCGTTTTGGATTTTTCATTATTTTGTGTGTCGGGATTCGGGTCCAAAAGTCATTTTGTTCCGGTATTCGGATTAGTCAGAATCTGACATTTTCGCTAATTTTGGATGCTTTTAGCCAGCAGTCCCCAACATTTTTAGCACTAGGAACCGGTTTTGGGGGGTAGGGGGGGGGGCTTGGCAGGGGTGGACGGACGATGGTTTCAGGATGATTCAAGCACATTTATTGTGCAATCTTATTTCTATTATTATTACATTGTAATATATAATGAAATTATTATACAACTCAACGTAATGCAGAATTGGTGGGAGCCCTAAGCTTGTTTTCCTGCTCTCAGGTGGCCAGTGTGGGCTTTCAGGTGGCCAGTGCGGGCTCTCACCAGGGGTCTGGAGAGTCTCACTGGTGGCTGTGGGCGCAGCAGATGTGGCTCTCTAATAAGGCAGCCGCTCACTCCTCACTAGGGCCCCAAGAGGCTCCAGAGAGCTGCCTTCTAATATGCCTGATTAGAGGGCCGCCTCTGCCTGATTGTAGCCGGTCCAGATTGCCATCCGGAGTCCCTATGATAATCTGGCCCTGGCCGAGGATGCTGCAGCCTAGTTCTTAACAGGCCATGGACCGGACTGCGGCCCGAGGGTTGGGGGCCCCTACTTTAAACAATATTTACGAACGAAAATTTGTTGCAGCAAAGTGACATTAGAAAAATAAAAAGGGACTTTTTGACAGTCCACAGAAACAATAATAATAATATAAAAAAAAAGTGGGGTCCCCCAGCTCATAACAAACCCTGTAGGTCTGGTTTTAACCATCAAAGGAAGATTAGAAGTGATTGTGTCCGATTCCATGAACTTGTAAAACGTTATATTATCTCTTTTGTATGTAGTATGCATACATTTCTTGCCTGCTGGAGGTTGCTGCCATCTTGATTTGTGAAGAGTGGCATACTGGATGAAAATCAATCATGCTGGAGCAGCGCTTTGGTAATGGTGGGGAAAGTGGCACCACCCAGTTATTAAAAAGAAAGCCATAGTCCTCTCTGAAAGATTGTATGGCACACACAGACATTGCATCCCATTATGTTGTGTAAGCTAGGTCTCAGGATACAGGAAGAGTGGTCTTTTGTAAGACCACCAGGGATAAATGCAGGGTCAGTGCTCACTGTGCAACTGCACAGGGGGCCCTCTGGGATAATGGAGCCCATTTACATGAGATGGACGATGACAAGCTGGAGGCATTCTTCCTTATACCCCAAGTGTTTTCCCTAAATGAACGGTAGGACCCACACATGTTCTTGCACAGGGGCCCTTTGCTTACTATGTCTGCAACTAGATAGTTGAAACCTGTGATGTGATATTTGAACATTTGTATTTGTCATTATTCCCACAAAACAAAGATTCACAGGGTGAAGGGTCCTGCAAATTGTTTCCAAATAGACCCCTTATTGTCCTGAGGGTATGTACTATTTGCAACTTCCTGCTCCTACTACATACATTCTGTCCTTCCTCCACCTCTCCTCCAGCTTCTTTATCATTACCCTAACATTCATTAGATCTTCAGAGGGGCAGCTCTTATAGGAGGATGGAAAACCATGCTTCTTTACCTCATTAAAACCTGGAGAAGACAATACTGGTGACTAGTCCCTTACCCTCTGCTTGCCGGGTTTGGGCACATCTTTCATGCTACAAGTCCTCTTTAAGCATTGTTTAACTCAGTATTGCAACAGACCCAACAGTGAGGTAATAGCCTATAAGACACAAAAAAGGCAAACACAAAGCACAGTAAAAAAAAAAAAAGGTGAAATTTAGTGTTTTATTAAAATTATCTAAAAAATAAGAAAATAGGCATAAGAAGAATTTGACAAGAATATAAGCAGCTTCCAAACATTTCAAAACGGATCAGACAAACATTACAAATACAACCGTTTCATTTTATACATACTGTATTGTAAATTAACAGAGAAACTTATTTTCTGGTTAAAATACAGAACTAGGCCTACCACTCGGCCGTTAAGTATAGAAAAAGAGGGCGAACATAGAAACGATTGACTCTCATAGAGAGGACAAAACTAGTTCTCCTAGTTAGGATTTAAGAGTTTATTACAAGCCAGCTAGTTCACCACCAGCAAGAATACCCTGTATGCTAAAAGAAACTACAAATAGTCTAAGCTTGATGTAGTGTATATGGTCTCACTGACAACATAATGGCCTCATCTACAAGCCACCAACATCTGTGACCAGTACTGGATGTTAAAGAGGACCTGTAACTTTGTAGTTGACTTAAAGTGTATGTAAACCTCAACAGTGCCCGCGGCTCGAGCTGCCTGGTGTCCTAACAATAGGGCACATTTGCGCTATACGCTGTACACCTGTAAAATGTTAGAACACACGTTACAAGTGTACAGACGAGATTTTACCCTGAATGACAGTTTTAAGAAGGTAGGTTGAGAGAGAAATAGGTTTACTGGCGCTGGTGATCTCCTGAGAAGCTAAAAAGGAACAAAAAGACAGAGACGCGAGCAGAAAAACTGATGGAGTAAGTGCTAAGAAGACCGTCATGGTACTGACACTGCTAGAGTTATAATATAAACTCATAACTGATTGCACAAGTTACACATCTATCCAACAAGACACCCCGAAACAATATGTCAAGATGGAGAGGATTTGGAACTGGTACTTAGAAAATGAGGGTTAGGGCACAAAGGTGTATGACAATAAAGCAGAACTCACTCATTGTATTGTTTTGGGTAGAATGGTGCAGGGTTCAATTACATCTTCACTGTTGTCCATGATCATGACATGAAGATCTCTATTACCTGATGTGTCAACTCCTGGTAAGCTAACATCTAAAGCTGGCCATACACAGATCGAATTGCAGGGCCTAGCAAACAGAAGAACTGCTTTTCAGTGAAATGTTCAACAAATCTAAGGTCAGGTACCCCCCCACCCCTCACAACAGCCTGTCTGTTATACATGAGCAGTACAGGGAAGCAGACGGATATGACACTTTGGACATCTTTGTGTCAGGGTGAGAGTGGCCTTCGTACGTCTGTCCCAGTATGAAAGTTATGGCTCTTATTTCAAGGATATTTTTATTATAAATAAAACTTGTTATGGTGTAGACGGCTGTCCTGTGGCCCAAACAATACGACAGTCTAGAGAAAGGTCCAGCCCACTGATAGTTTCTGGTGTAGCCTTGAGCTATTAGACCCAATGCCAGCAACAGCTCTCACTTAAAGTGACACTAAACTCCGGAGTTAAAACTTAGACATGCAGAAGATTTAGCAGAGGCCAGATGATGCTTTAAAAATTTAATGTGGCACATTCACTTTCAGGCCTGCCATAACATTTATCCAGAATGTATTTTTCCTGTTGAAGAGGTGTATTAATATACATTTCCTGGGGAGCATTGCCCTAAGTATGCATTGCACTTAAAGTAACACTAAACTCAGGAGTTACATTTAAAAAATGCATTCAAATACCCTTATTATTAACAAAAAAATTATTTGTTTATCACTCGGCTGTAGATCCTCAAATCATCTCTGAATTGGTGCTGACACTGTCCTTCCTTCTGGAGGGTGGCTACTTTTGTTCCCCACGGTCCCTGTGTGTGTTGTAAAGTAGTCACAGCACCAAGATCACTCCTGTGATAGACTACAATCTAAATATACAGTATATTATGATTGACGTCCACCACAGAAGTGAGCTTGGAGCTGTGACTACTTCATAAACACACAGGGACCGTGGGGAACAAAAGTAGCCCCCCTCCAGAAGGAAGGACAGTGTCAGCACCAATTCAGAGATGATTTGAGGATCTACAGCCGAGTGATAAACAAATAAGTTTTTTGTTAATAATAAGGGTAATTGAATGCGTGTTTTAGATTTAACTCCTGAGTTTAGTGTCACTTTAAGGGCTATGCTCCCCGGAAATGTATATAAATACAACTCTTCAACAGGAAGAATGAATTCTGGATAAATGTTATGTCAGGGCTATAAGTGAATGTGCCACATATTCAATTTGTAAAACATCATCTGGCCTCCGCTAAATCTACTGGCAGGTAAGACTATTTTAGCCCGCTAGGCATCATCAGCTTGGGGTTGGAGTTTCATATGGAGACCAGAACCACCAGTCCCATATTAATGAGGAGCTGTAGGCCAAAACAGTCCCGTACACAGGTCAGTGTTGTAAATCAGCAAAGAGCCGTGTGATATTGCGGTCTTTGTTTCTGCTGGCAGGATTTACGCTGGCTTCCTGTGAGAAGGGAAAGTGATGGGAAATCTCTCCAGAAGAGACATGGATAAAAAAACATTGGTAGTAGAGTTGGGAAGGGTAAGAACTTCTGGTAATGTTTTTATTGCTGTATGGGCCTTTCTGTCAAAGGGACAACCACATTCCCCAACTCTTCTACAGCTGTCACAGGGACAGAAAGTAAGGGTAAATCTACCAGTGGAAGCTATGTCAAGAAGACATGAAAAGCAAACATATGACACACAAAGCTCACTAATAACTTAGGACAAACCCCAGGACTAATAGACAGAGTCCCAGTCTGAGAATATCTTTCTAAAGTGCCTTTACCTTACATTCAATAAAGTGCGTATCTTATACAACCATTCTCACATCACCCAAAGCCTGTTTGTACACCTAAATGTCTGCAGTATTCTTTCTTCAGGCTAAACGTGAGCTTCCCATTGGATCCTGTACACTCCCAGGCAGAAGGTCCATGGGTCAAGGGTGGGAAGCCCGCCCTCAGGAACGGAGCCAGGCTTCCCTGAGTGAACTAGTAAGAGCTTTAATGTACCCATTTGCTGGTTTCTAAAGTGGTGGACCCCTGAGCCTAGGATCATGGAAGCTTACTTACCAGCTGCAAGGAAGAACCTTGGTCACTGGTAAATAAGGTCTACAGTTCTCTTCCATAGTAAAGCCTTATTTATCAATGTGCTCACAGTCTGTGCTGCCCAAGAAAGAGCCAGGCAGTCCAGCAAGCTGAGACAGTCCTTCAGTCATATACATTGTTTAAATAAGACCGAATATGTTTTTGATGTTAAGTTAGATCCTTGTACATGTACTTTCTAAGTACACTGCAACGCCCACCCATCACCATGCCATCATAAGCATCCAAGTCATCATAGCCAGATATAAAACAACATACTCTGTGATGATGGACAGCTTTAAAGAGTCCTCTCCTTCTGTGTGCACCACAGCACATACTATGTGGCCCATTCAAACAGTCTGGTGCATGTTCCAGGCACTGCCATAGGGCCTGACCCGCAGCATGCCCAGTTGTCCCCATTGCAGTATATGAGCCACAAACTAAGCGCTGTGGAGTACATGGGCATCTGGGTATGTAAACACAACCTATCACCGCGCAGCGTTTATGTATCCAAAAATATCTATGATGGGCATGTGGGGATGGGGGTGGGGGTTATTGAAAGTGCTGTAATAGTACACTTACACTAAAACAAAAAAATATATAAAGCAAGTCAATAACTGTAGTAAATCATAAATTAGAGCAGATCATACACTGCTATATTACCATCAAAACACTATAAGGCAGAAAAGTCACAATTAAAATTTGATGTGCAATTTAAACTGATAAATAGCGATCCCCTTAACCCGGCAAATCCATTGTAACCGACAGCAACTAGATATTTGGAGCAAAGGAAAGTGATTAATTGCTGTGCTTTCATACGTAACTCCATCATGATTTCCTGTCATTATTCAGAGCACAGCAGACAATAAAGATAACGGATCTGACATTTTTTATACAGGTTCCAACAACAGTAATGTGCAGTAACCCATAACAACCAATACCATATAATTGAAAGCTGACATATTATTGCTTGCTCCAAGTCCCTGCTTTGTACTTTCCTGTTCTTTGGATGAAATGATCACACAGTGTTATTAGTAATGTCAGCACATTATAGTGGCAGACATCAGATTTTATGAGTAACTCCACTTTTGTTGAGGAAAAAAACAATCCCCTCCGGGTGATCAAAGTATATTGCAAAGATTTTAAAGAACCTTGTTGCAGATTCCTACCTTTTCCTCTTCTGTAGGAGTAGCTGCCTCATCACCATGACCCTTACACACTGATCCCTGAATGGTTTGTTTTAGGGCCTGTTCACATGAGTTTCAGGCCCTGATCAGGTGCGGATCTGCAGATGCGGTGCTGTGTGTTTTTGCCGCGTTTTTGATGCGTTCCAGTGGGGCTGTCAGTATGTTAGCTGTAGTGCGTTTTTGACGCGTTTTGCGTTTCCGGACCGTACAAAATTTGACATGCAGTATTTTTCTGTCGTAACCTGAACAGACTGCGCACGTGAGAACTGTAGCCCATAAAACACATAGGGATACATTGGGATGCATTTTGAGTGCAGGAGCGTACGGATCAGGTCAGCACAGAAAACGGACATCGTGTGAACAGGCCCTTAAACTTTACTTGTATCTTAGCGTAGACTTCTGGGAAAATCTGTGAGCCAATCATACAAGCAGGAAATGACATGCCTGGAGGGTTCTGTATACCAACATTACACAGAATACCTTCGAGATGCCATATTGCATTTCATTTGTTGAACAGTTTTAGAAAATTACAGTGGCTTCAAGTTGAAAGGCAAAGATCATTTTTAATACCATTAAATTATAAAATAGCTTATAGCAACTTTATAAACTATATCATTTGTTAACAGAAGTGGAGTTTTCCTTTAAATTCCCGTCACCATTCTTGCCATCTGTGTACCATTGGGGAGATTTCCCTTCACTTCCTGTTCTGATAACAACCCCAAATTTGTCATTTTCTTTCACGTTCACTGGTAAATGTCACCAGGACAAAAAAAAACGGTAAACCTACCTAACAGGAACACTGACAGCAATAAAAACCTGCCAGGTATTTTTGTCCCTCTCCACTCTATCAAAAAGTTAAAAAAAACAATTGTTGTACTTTTAACATTCAACCATTTCTTCTCTTTCTCTATAAGGAACCATAGTATTATAAATAAATATAACTTAATAGGGCACCATATAAATAAATGTATATAGCTAGGATCAACATCAATGGAAATTGCTTAATTACAGTTTCAACGATTTTGCAATTATAATTCTTGCAATCATAACTCAACAAAACTGTATTATTTCCATTAAAATATGTCAAGTCTCTTATTTTTTTCTGCTCTTATTTTGCAATCTGCAATAACTTTGTGCTTTTAACTACCTAAAGCCCAACTCTGGGCATTTTCTTTTTAAATAAAATAGTCCCCCACCAGCAGGTGAAATAAAAAAGCAGCACAGGCTTTAATACTCACCTATAATGCGGAGCGGTCACGTACAGTACATCACCACAAGATGCTCTCAGTGTTTCCGGTTGACCGACGGCCAGCGTCATCCAACCCGGAAGACTGAGGACATACGGACAATGTAGGGCATCATGGAACCGCCCTCTGAGGAGGCGTCACCACGACACACCTCATTTGCAGTGTATTGACGCAGAGAGAGTTATGTCAGCACCGCTCTCTGCATCATCAGAGGACCACCCACAGCTGGCCGAAGACTGAGGAGAATCCAGCATATCAAAGGACCAACCTGAAGATTTTTTGAAAAAGTGTAACATAAAACAAAAACAAAGCAAAGCATACTGCTGGGGGAAGGGGGGCGGGTGATTAGGGGTCAAGGGGCTAAGGCCCCATTCACACCTAGGCGTATTGTAATATGCGCGTCTGTCGCGCGACCGTCACGCGTTTTTTTTACCGAGATTAGCGGTAAAAAAGTCGCTCGACCGTCGCGCGATTCCGAAGGCTACTTGGCTGTATCCCAATGGAAAACGCCCTACAAAACGGCCCAAAGTAGTCCCGGGACCTTTTCAGGTGTGGGCCGTTTTGTAGGGCGTTAGGGACGGGCGGAAATACGCCTAGGTGGGAACGAGGGCATTGACTACAATGCTATTTATTTTTTTGACCGTTTTGTAGCGCGTTCGTCGAGCGTAGGACGCGCTACAAAACGGTCAGGTGTGAACGCAGCCTAAGCCCAAAGTTTAGCTTTAATGATTTGCTGGTCTTAAATCACTGGGCTTTAATCATGAACAGCAGGACAATCAAAAAAAAGCAGCAGCACCAGTGCCATATTTCCCATAATCCTCTGCTTCTGTAAAGAATGCAGAGATATTCATCATGGTTCAGTGACTTTAGCCTCCTGCAGAATAGGCCAGGCCCTTTACTCTTCTTTTTTTAAAAAAAAAGGCTAACATGGCCTAAAGGGGCATTTATTTCCAGCCATTTCCTGACTATAACTCAGTTTCTTTTGCCTTTTTTGAGCTTGTGTACCATTTGAGAACAGCAGCACCAGCTGTACTGGCCACGATGCACAGGGCCCCTCCAATCGACCACCATGTTGGAGTGTGGTGCAGGAACAAGGCCTGGAAAATAAAAGCAAAGACCACGTCCATTGTCCTCATGATGGCTACCAATCCAGCTTTCTCGATTTGTAAAGCTTTTACAAGAAATGTTTGGCCTCCCAACCCTAGAATGCCAATTATTACCAGCAGCCACCTGTCTAGGCCGCAATAAGGAAAACTCCATTCACCAATAACTGACAGGGCAATGATGCACTCGATGAGACCGATAACAGCGTAATACCAAATGGAGAGCAAGTAATGCACAGACTTGCCCATTTTTCTTAACACCACCAGGGTCAACGAGGCACAGACGGCACTTCCTACTGCAGCAATCGTCCCCTTTAGGTGCTCAGAGTAATCTTTCTCCAGGCCATCGTTGTTTGACCCAAACAGAAATGGCGGACGAGCTATAAGGATGACTCCAGTTATAGTGAAGACCATGAAGACTATATCCCATACAGTGCATTTCTCCTTCAGGAATATGCAGGCAAATATGCAGGTGAAGGCGGGACTGCTGAAAGTGATGACCGTGGCATCTGCCAGTGGCATGGTCTGAATGGCATAGTACAGGAGAATCATGGCTCCAGAACCAAGGAATCCACGGAGGAAGAGGAAAATCCTTTGATTCTTGGGACCTAGAAAACCAGTCCTGCAAGAACAAGAAAAAATATTTTTACAGTAGAATAAACACTGATGTTTTTAAACAGGACAGTTTTTAAATATGACTATCCTACTGATTTGTAATACATGTTGCTAGGTGAATGAACCTATTAGCCTTTCTATGATGACAGACCCCCATACCCCCTCCTCCAGACTGTCTATTAGACCCTTTAGGTCACCTTTCCACGTAGGAGCTATTCAAGCACACATGGCTTGAATAGCTTCAGCCATGTGGCTCGAGGGGGCCGGGGGGGGGGGGGGGGGGGGGGGAATCCCTGTGGGGAGTGGTGAGTGACAGTTACGGCTCTCTGTAGGGAGATGATCGGGAAGTGAGCGAGCGACGGTATGTGTTCGCTGACTTCCCGAGCTATTGAGCCGACATGTGACAGTTTCATTGTCACACGTCGGCTTGAACAATGAGGTGACTGATTTCCACTCACCTCATAGTTCTCCTTTAACCTTTAAACAATTCTATATTTTATTTTGAAAAACGAAAAATAAGAAAAAAAAAATGTAGTGTTGATTTTTTCCCCCCGTGTGCAATAATTCCCATTAAGGTGCGGCAGGGGCGTGTCCTTTACCTATATATTTCATGCTTTAATGTGTCCCTTCCCATCTCAGAAAGTTGGGAGTTATGTAAGCTGTGATCCCATGACAGTCAATCACAGAAGACCTATCAGGGAACTTGTCTCTTCAAATGTTTTCTACGAATAGCTGAAGAAATCTCAAACTTACTTGCAATAAATGAGTCCGGGAAGCACAAACAACATCTGGAAGATGCAGCGATACGTACTGATCTGCACAGAGTGCATGTCTTCAATCTTCTTCACCAGCAAAGCACTCGATGAGAAAAAGAAGGTGGACAGGATGGTGTAGAAGATCCCAAGCCCAGGGCAAACACATGTTTTCTTCCCTGTGAGAGCAGAACACAATTTCAGCCTGACTTGTTTAATAAATACATGAAGCTGCAAATAAAAATACATCAATAAGAATACATAAAAATACATCAGTGCCAAATAACTGCAAAATGATGCTTCTGGGTTAGTGAAATATAAGTATTATAGAGCAAATGTTTTACTAATTAAGGCTGAACTCCAGAAAAATATAAAATATGCAAACAAATGCAGCTCTGTAGTCATTAATACATCATTAAATGTATTCTTGAAATGCTAGCTCTGCAACTTGACCAGGTATGAGCCTCTTGTAAACCACAATACAGCAGAGCTCAGAGTGGGGGAGGGAGAAGCAGAAAAAAAGGAGCCAGTCAGCTGTGCTGCAACGCTAATGTGCTAACATTGAGCAAGCTGATAGGCGAAGGCAGAGAAGGTACAGGCATTAGAGGCCAGGGCCGGCTGACTTTCTGTACTATAGCGTTAAACGAAACTTTGTGACCTGACCCCTTTACGGTAAAGTAATAGAGTTTCAAGCTGAACTCTGGGGAAAAGGAAAGAAATACCCTTGCAGTGGTGCTGCCCCTGCGCAGTAAGGTTCATATGCTCATTTATGCCTCGGGTACCAGGAAAATAGACTTTTACTTACCTTACCCCTCACTCCTCCAGCAGCCGGCACTCTGCTCTTCTACCTGAGGCTCCGGGTAGGGTCCATCCCTCGCTGTACTCCAGTACAATGCAGGGCCATTGGCCTTGACGACATCAAGTACCACCAATGGCCGGGAGCGCCTTAAAGAACCTTTAAAGGGCCGGTTGCACAGCGTGGGGGAAACCTGCAGGAGTCAGGGATTACCAAGTAAAAGTCCTTTTTCCTGGTACCCTAGCCATAAAAGAGCATTTAACCCTTGCAGTACAGGAGGGGTATTTTTTCCCTTCCGAAATTCAGCTTTAAAGCCCATACATGCCCTGATCCACCTTCCCTGTCCTTCCTTGATGATCTAACCTCCCCCTTAATGCAGTGCTTGGACCTACAAAGTCATGTAAGAAGCCATCGTCAAACTTGTGTAAGCTCCAACACCATCCAACATAGGAGGGGATTTATCAAAATTGGAGCTGATAGAATCCGGAGCTGATTGGAGCATAGTAGCCAATCAGCTGTTTAATTCTTAACTGAACAAACTGAACAGACAAGGACAACTGCTCCAGATTCTGTCTGCTCCAGTTTTCATAAATTCCCCCTATAGTTTAAGCAGGGTTTACCTCCCCGAGCAATAGAGCATCAGTGGGGGAAGTGTTTTCATTAGAGCATTTCAGTGGTGTTCAACTATAAAGAAAAAAAGTGACTGAGCATTAAAGAGGAACTAACATTCCCCTCTCCTCCATCAAGGTGATGTCTGCAAGCTCCCTCGCCAGTGTCCACATCTTGACCCGTCCTTTTTCTCAGTTTAGCATCTTCAGCCATCTTTATTGACCACCCCGGGATGCCATAACTTGTTCACGCCATGTTCGTTCAGCTGCATTTGTCTGCACACCACGGTGCTTGTATGGTGAGCAGGGCCCATAGAAATCAATTGTTCTTAATGTGCCCTGTTTACACAATACATGGACGTGGTGTTGTGCAGAAATACTCAGCTCAGCAAACATTGTGTAAGCATGCCCTCAGGCTCAGAGGATTTCATCTCAGATACATAACCTATACACAGGAATGTAGAAGAAGTGATGTAGAGCAGACAACCCAACCTGCAAAACCTTATTTCAGGGAGGTGCCCTTTCTGGTTTTGTTTTTTTTACAGTGGCTGTCGTCAGAATATAAAAGAAATAATAATTATATATATATATATATATACTTAGAGTAAACCTTTCAGGGAGAGAATGCCTCTCTCGCGGACGTCAGGGAGCCGCTATCTAATAGAGGGAGACTCCCTGAACATCAGGGAGACTTGAGATCCCTGTGTAGAGACACCTTGCACCTTTTTTTTTCTTCGTGGGAGGGAGGCATTTTAAAATGTACCTCAGGCAGCAAGAAGGCCGAAACTGGTAATAACATACTAACTCTCACACACCCTCACACAGGTCTTTGATCTCTCCTGTAGTGTTCCAGCACTCATTGATACCAGATCTCCTTTATTACATTATATATCCCTTTATAACAGCCACTGCTTATCAGGTACCACTTAGTGTGTGCCAGGTCACCTCAAGTTATTGATAAACCTTTACTGCCTGTGCGGCCTAAATGTATTCAAATGTTACCAAATGCCCCTGTGTGCTTCTAAAGCAGTGTATATCGCTCTGATATATTATGAAATATCTGCTCACACATCAAGCTGACTATTACATTAAATGAACCTGACAGAAGACAGTTACACACATCACGGGCCCAGAAACTCTATTCCAGCCTTCTTCACCTGGAGGTACTAGACATCCCAACTCTCCCGGACGTCTGGTGGTCAGTAGAAGAATTCCCATCGTACAAGAGACAGCAGACCCATTTGGTCCCAGCCATGCACACTGGGTTTTTATGTGTGTTCGCATCTGTCCGTGGCTGTCTGCAGGTAATCACAGATGGTGCAATTACCTGCAGATTGGGAGAGATGCTTGTCCTGAGTTGCAGAGAGCTTGCATCCCAGGACAAACATCTCTCCTGCTCTGCAGGTACCATTTACCATTACAAGCAGAGAGCCAGGGACAGATATGGCCGCTGTCATTAAATTAAATGGGCACAGTGGCCACCTCTGAACGGACCCACATGGGACTCCTGTCGCAAGAATCCGTAGGTTTTTGCCGCAGGAATCCCAGAATGCACATAAACTGTGCAGGAAGAAGATGAATCCCCTACAGCAGTGGTTCTCAACCTGTGTAACCTCAGGACCAGCATTTGTCCTTGGTCATTAAGTCACAACCCAAGTCGCACTGCAATGGAATGCACGAAATTAGAGTACCCACTACAAAAAAATGTTTAAGCTCCACCCAGTCTCCCTTCCTTACGAGAACTGGAGTGGATCCTCAGCCTGGGGTGCAGTGTGGGCTGCTGTGCTGTGATGGAGCTTCATCCATATGTGCATTGCTTGTACAGCTCCCTTGTGGTCCCTGTAGAGGTGCCGGGAGCCGGATTGTGATGTCACCATGGCACCTCTATAAGACATGTGAGGGAGCTGTAAGCAATGCACGTATGGATGGAGCTCCCTCGCCGCCATAGCCACCATCTCATCCCTGCGCTGGGCAGCATATTTTGAATGGCTGCTTGGCGAGAAACTGACAGTGCTGTGCTGGGGGAGGCAGAGGAGCCTCTCACCTAGAAAAGTGGAAGTGACCCACTAAACATGAGGTCGCGACCCACTTTTGGGTCACGACCCACCAGTTGAGAACCAAGGCCCTACAGCTCAAGGTACCCCAAACAACCTCTGGAGGAACCCTTAATGAGGATGACTGCTCTGTTCAATAGCAATAAACAAAAACCTATGATAGTAATAGATAAGAGCTACGTGTGTGTCTTTCTTCGATTCCTGCCAGAATATCAGCTTTGTGTTCAGCCAAACAGGCCCAGGTTTCGCACTGAGTAAGTAAACAGAAATATGAACAATTATAAAATACTTTATTATTTCATAATAAAGTAATTATAAAATAATTTCTTTGTGTTTATTTGATTCCTATTCAAGAGAATTACTTTATATATAGTCAATATAGGCACAGAGGTAAAATTTTGTAACATTTTCTAATGGTGGTGTGCCTCGTGATTTTTTTCATGAAAAAAAGTGTGCCTTTGCACAAAAAAGGTTGAAAAACACTGTAATAGAGGGACCGAGGTAAACACACGGCCCATGCAGTTTAATAATTACACACTGGATCAGGTTTTATCATTGGCTACTGTGGAAACACAGGGCTGCCATGATGATAATTGTAGACTAGCATGACTAAGCTAGCTAGAGAACATACCCTTCACCTCAGCCCTACTTATCTCTACAAACAAATCCATGTAGTACAGGAAACCAGTATCCTAGCACAGCGAGTTCCGGAAGATTGCTCTGCCTGCTACCAGCCGAGTGACTGACCCTAGAGACAAAGCCCGGATTTCTGCTTAAAGTGCAACTACGGGCAAAACCTAAAATGACATACACTGCATAACACAGTCCATCAATGGCAGTTTTCGTTTCCCCTCCCGTAACATAGTTTTATTATGTGTTGATCCTGCTGCTAAATCGGTTATTTTTCCACTTCCTTTACCAGGCCAAGCTGTCCAGCAAAAGTGGCTGACAGCAAGTTATGACCAGGGCTTGAAAAATGTTAGGGTGTCAGTCAAAAAATTCACCAGTCCGCATTACCGGACTTTAGCCTTGCAATTTATGTTAACATTTTTTTAGGGACACTTTTGATCTTTTGTGACACTATCGTCCAATAAAAAGGACTTATTCATTTTAAAATTTGGAGTGCTGGTGACCTATTCTTCCAATCACGTCGGGTACATAGACACCAAACATGTCAAGCTTTAAAATTCAAAATCACAAAAAACGACCACACCGAAAAGTGGACACAGGCGACGCTTTAAACGTTTTTACTGCTCATCAGTTTAGTGTTATCAGTGCTTAATGGCCCTAAAATTATTGCTCTCACTGCGACATTCGCGGTGATATGTAACATGTGTGGCACAATAGGCGCAATCGCCATTTTTGCACGTAGAGGCACCCGACGCATGTTTGCGTGTGCATGTGGTGGGCGGGGGACTTAAACATTTTTTTTTATTATTTTCTTTTCTTACTCTTTTTTTACACTTAACTTTATTGCTATCACAAGGGGGGCTAAGAAGGACCCATCAGGAACGTCAATTGAAAAATCAACTTTTGTTGAACGGAGGGGTGCTGACTAGGGATGCGCTGATACCAGTTTTTCTGTATCGAGTACAAGTAGCGATATTTTTTTTAAAGAAGTGATTTGCCCCCCCGGCTTCCTGATTAGCCGGCAAGCCGTCTCCATGCTTCCTCGTCACCAGGTGACGAGGAAGCATGCATCCAGCTTTCTGGCCAATCAG